CGCCACCCTTAATATATTCATGCATAAAAAATTCATTAACAGGCGTAAACAATTTAGGTCGTGGAGCCAAACCGATTGAGGTGTTTAACATAACACTCACACGAAGGACTAACGATCTGAAATCAACCGTTTGTCCATAGACGCTGCGGTGAGCGTCCAATGTAATTAACAATGAATAATATTTACATTTAACCCTCTACTCGTTGCTGTAAGATGGTACAAAGTTTTCAATATAATAAAGCCTTGCCAATTGCCATTGATTAAATTAATTTTTTGTTTTCAGGAGAACTATAACACAGCTCGGAGCGTCTTGTTTTCTTCTCAAGACCGATGAATCTGAAGCCTGAGTCAAGAATTGACGAGTATAGCGGCTTATTCGAGGCTTGTAGGGGGCGAGAAGAAGAGGAAGGTATACGGCATCGGGTTCAGGCAGTCACAGTTTTTACTGCGCTCTCAGAGCTCGACGCTTCTAACAGCCAAGCGCAAGCTCACAGCCCGAAGCCACCACTACAGCACTATACTGAATTACGGGCTCAACTTGCTGATCAGTAGAGATCAGATTGCAGAGCTTTAGAGCCGGCATATGATGCGGCTATCCGGTGAGCCCGTCTGGTACTGGTTCCTTCCTCTGATCCTGCGCTTGCTACAGACCGAAATGTTTCAACGTCTCAGCAGCAAGCCACTTACTGAACTCCTAATCGGTGGCTGCGACGTACCTTGGTCACCCTCCTGGCTCGCTGGGCAAACCTCACATCCAGTAGGTATCTCCCGCGATCCGACTCGGATCCTGCAGATAGAGACGCAGCGTAGATTTTAATTTTGGACCTTTTAGTTTTTCATCTTGTATTTTTTGATATTTTGTTCCAGTTCAATAAAAATACAATTTTTATATTGTTCTTGAATTGACGCGTGTTGTGATATATATGTATATAATGTCATTTTCACAAGGTTGCGAAAAAAACCTTATGGTTTTCAATAATAATCATTTAATTTTTTTTATTTTTTTTCACTTTGCGACCAGATTTGGCCCTACCAAAAAATTAAAATTTTTAAATTTACAACTTTGTGACCGGATTTGCGGACCGTTGAATTTTAAAATTGCGACAGATTTTTTCTGGCGACCAATTTTGTGACAGAGTTTTTAAATGAAACACGACCAAAATTCTGCACGATCGAATTATTCAAGTTTGCGAGGCCCCCGATGAAATAATAGGTCGCAAACATCTTTGCGACGAGGCCTATTTTGCGACCCGATCATATATCGGTTTGAAAATCGGTCGCTAAGTGAAATTAGCGACCGATTTTTTGCCATTTTTTGCGACGATTGGTTCGGTCGCAAAATGACGTTTTTTTTGTAGTTTAAAATGGAAAGAAATAACTGTTAGTCTGTTCAACTCTTTCTTAGTTAACCACATTAATCCCAAACTTCACGTTTCGATCAAATCTCCTCTTTGTCCAAAGTATAAATCGAGGTGTTTGAATGGATTATTTCTGTTGAAAAATATAAGTCGTTAATGAGTATTTTAGAAGTTAATGATATTTTTTCAATATAACCCTTATTACATTATATACAATAAATAATTTTCTACACTAATCATTAATTTTGAGATAAAAAGATAATCTGGCTAAATATTCTTGATTTATATAATTTACGGTAAGTTATGTACTTTCTTAATTTTTGTACAAAAATTTAACGATTTATAATTTTTAACAGAAAGAGAATTTGGGTGCAACGAGCTATAGTTTATGCACTCTCACACGATTGTAAAAGAAATTTGCTAGAAACTTACTAAATTATTATAAAAAATAATATTTTTTTTTTGAATTAGAAAGATAGTATTGCATTACTCAAGAAATGTATACGGGCGGTTGAAACATTTAGAGTTGGTTGAAAGGGTTAAATCCAAATATAATCTTAATGCCAACGCACAATTCTAAAAATTTTTAAAATATAAATCAAATTGAAATAAACAGGTTTATATATAGAATTGAACTAAAATTTCAATTAGTTCTATTAATTCCCGACTGAATTTGAATTTAATTATTTCGTAAACAAATTTAAAATTTAATTTGCTGCGATTAATAAAACTAAATCGATTAAAAAAAATTTTGATTTCCTATTAAAATTGAAAATTAATTCCATCACGTAAATAACTTAATTGACTTGGTTTAATATGTTGAGCTTTTTCCAACTTTACTCAGCATTAATTGATTTGCGTGCAAATATTATTAATTATATAAGATATAATATCTGTTTCGAAAATTAATTTGATTTGACAGTTCACAAGACAGTGTGGACATACACACATGGCTTTCAATAAACTTGTCTCCTTCCTTATCTATCTTCATCTTCAATTAATCTGTAATAATATGCCATGTACATTTATAATTGCATTTTAGAAAATGTTTTCTAGAAGATTATACATTGAAACATGCTGCCACATAATAATACATACAAAAGAATATTTAATAAATTGAAAAGAATAATTCTCTTCAAAAAAAATGAAAAGAATAATATATATATATAATATATATATATAATTATATATATATATATTTATATATGATATATATATATATAATATATTAAGAAAACGAAAGGATATTGTACTTACAACAATAAAATGAAATAACTAAAACAATATTTAAAAAATGCTCTTTTTTTATTGTAACTCAAATTACTTCATTGATATATAATTTAAAGAAATTAAAAAGAAAAGGAAAATATCACTTAAAATTTTCCATTAGTAAACATCTTCTATTAATTATTTTAAAATTTATTTCTTTTTATTCATTTTAAGACTAAATGAATTGGATTCTGATGGCTCTTTCATAAATTCCACAAATTAAATAAAACTCTTAACGATCGAATAATTTGAATCTTGAACATTTTCATCCTTCATGTTCTATAAAAGTGAAAAATACCCAAAATGAGGTATATGAAAATTTTTATAAAAATTTTGAATTTTAACTTATTTTTTTTATTTATTTATATTATTTATATTAGATACTAGCTATTAAAGGTAAACGAATTACTATTGTCATATAAATTGGTATAATATCTATATTGTTATATAGTTTCATTTTTAATATTATATATTCATTAGTTTATCTGGAATAGGTTTCGGAATGTATGTAGAGAATGTATTGGCTCGGGTTTAGTTTCGGGATGTTTAAGCCTTTTTTTGAAATAAATTACTAAAAATAATAATTCAAATAGTTGATAACAATTTTTAGTTTAATATAACATTTAAAGAAACATAAAAAAAATAAAGAAAAACTAAAAAATTAATTATTATTTATTATTATTTTATTTATCTCTCTTTCTTTTTCTTTTTAATAGGTAAATACAATGGGTTGAAACAGTCTCCTACTCAGTACCAACTAGCTGACCAACATTAATATCAAATGAAGTTACAATTCATCCAACCGAAATTGACCGTGAAAGATGAATGACGTTTCCCGAACAATCCACTACAAGCAGCAAAATGCCTTTTAATTTTCTAGAGAAACAAACATAAATATCTTATTTAAAATAAATAATTGTTCATAACTTTTTTTTTACTTAACAAAAAATAGAAAAATAAATATCAATTTAAGAATTTAAAGAAAAAAAAAACAATTAATCCATTCCCAAGCATGAATTGATGATCTGCGAACAAAACAGTTTATTACAAAAATTACTCATTTCAAGAATTCAAATTGGGTTGTCGGCAAAAACATGATTGGAAACATTTAAAGCAAGGAGGATTGGGATTCTAGTTTCGGCAATTTTTAATGCCGTTTTTTCATTTTTATTTTTAATTTTTTTTAAATAATTTACAATATTTACTCTCTTTAACAGCTACGAATTTTCTTTTTCGTTTTTGTTTTCTTTTTCTTAAATTATAATCCATTTATTACCTATCGTCCGTTTCATAATATTTATCACATTTAAGAAAAATCGTTTATTTTCAAAAATACTTGTCATATTTGTGGTTTCAAAAAAATAATAATTTTTTTTATATTTATCATTTTGTAATATTATAATAATTATTTATGTTTCAATTTAACAGTTTTCTCTTCAAAGAAAAATAGTGTTAAATTAAGGGTAATATAATCCAATTTACTTAATAATTTTATTATAATTTAGAAAAAGTTAATAATTTTTTTTAAAAAGACGGTGAAACTTTCAAATGTAACAAGTATTATGTAACAAGGTAGGTAGTATTAAATATTGAGGGAAATATAATTAATTTACATCATAATTTATTGTAACACTTAGACAAACTAATACTATTTTTCCTAAGGACAGAATTGATAAAATATTATGGAACAAGATACATAATTAATCTGGTTTGATGCAAAAAGATCATATAATAATATAATAAATAATAAATATGTAAAATATATATCTTTAAAGGATTAAATTTTTAATCGGTTGCAAGGTTATCTTATCTCTTAATTGAAACCTATTTCAATTATGGGTAGAAATAAAAAATTATATTATTAACCAAGATATATAATTAAATATAATTAAATATTTTATTATTTTAAACCAATAAAATTAAAAATTTTTAAAATAATTCTATTCTTATCATATTTTATACATACCCGTATATACTATATAATATAATTTTTTTTATTTTTATCAATATATTTGATTTAAATAAGAAAATTAATATATCAACCAATAAAATTAAATTTTCCTTTATTTTTGTAAACCACATAAAATTAAAAGTTCTTCTTAATGATACTTGATCGCAAAATAAGGAAGCTTTAGCAATCCCATAATTCCCAACCAATTAATACTTCTAGATAGATATATTATTATAATTTTTATACATTATCAAAAAAATATATATTTTTGGATATACAAAAAATAGTTGATGGCTTTTCTTTGTAATTTGTTTTTCAAGTAGCTCCATTTCGGTAAGGATAAGGTGCAGGCTAGGGCTTAAAAAGGCAATGGTTCTTTGCCCACCTAAATGGTAACTAACACTCAATAGTTCAATGTGCTATTCCATGGGCTGGGCTTCGTTTTTTCAAATTGGCCTAAAACCTTATTTGATGATTTAAAAAAGTATTATTGCTTGAAAAATTCAAAATAAATACAACACCAATTAAAAATTAATAATTTATGTACGTAAATTCTATTGATTAATCCGATTATCAATTTTTAAAAATAATCGATTGAAAATCAAAAATTAAATTTATTCTCCATCGAAATAATAAAAATTTTATTAGTTTAACTTTCGATTAATTTGATTTACAGTCAAGCAGTTCCAACCAAATACCTGAAAATTGAAAATATTTTTAATTACTGACAAAAACTAATTACTCTTCATCAAAATAATTAAATATTATGAAGGAAACGAGAGCTATCCTTATTACATAGCTTTATTTTTAATTGTAATTTATGCGGATTTATCTATTTATTGATTATTAGGAAGTATCGATATTAGTATATATATATATATATAATATCTATATATATAATATATAATATAATATATATATTAGGGTGTGAAACGGGTGGTATGGTTATGAATCGAAACCCAAACTGGAAAATCAAAAAGCGAAAGCAGATTTCCCTTTAAAGTCGAATCAACCGATTAATTAATAATTGAAAATTAAGCGATGGTTTCAGTTCGACAGACATACGATTTAAATCAAATGTATCGATTTTACTCAAAAAAATGAATATTTAAAATAACCGATTCAAAGATAAAATCAAAATTAATATAATGGAAACCAACTAAATAACCAACAAGAAGACAGAAAAATAATTTGGTTGAGTTTGATTTTTGATTTTTCCAAAAAAGTTTGCTTCATCAATATTAAGTTGTACTTTACACCCTTGAAAGGGAAGGAATCTCATGAAACCATATTTTCCAACCTTCACTTATGATTGGGATTCCACTATAGATTTGGATTGATTTGGATTTTAGTGTTTCATTAGTTGTCCAAAAATTGTCATTGAGATTTGATCTATTAAGAGACAAAGATTTGACCTAAAGAAAGTAATTAATTGGTTTGATTAGTTGGATTTTGCATTTCTTAATGATTCTTTAATTCCATCCTAAGTCATGCAATGCCAATAGTATATTGATTTGATTTCCATCAACCTCATTTTTTTTTTTTATTCATTACTTTGTTCTTATGGTTCATAATGGCATCATTTTTAAGGACCTTATAAGTACAAATGGTTATAATTTTTGTTAAGACTTATCATTTTGGAATATGAAATTTAATTGAATTTTTTATTTTGATATGTTAATGTGTTTTTTTATTTTGATATGTTTTTTCATAATAGGATAATATATAAAAGTAGTGCTTGAGCTTTGTGTTTTGTTTTTAATTTGTGTTGAGTGGCTTTATTTTTTTATCGCAATTAAGACTTTGTTGGACAATCGTTTTTTAGTTAGATTTTTTAACGATTTGATCAGTTTATATCGTATCTTATTTATGATTGTTCAAATAGCTTTATTTATTGTATTGTTCAATATAGCTTTTAAAAGTTGATAAATTTTTTCATGAAATATTAAACACGCTAACATCTAGTGTCAGAGAGATTAATTAAATTTTTTTAAAGTCATACTCATTGTTTTTTTCTTGAATTCAATTAATTAAATATCTAATATTCTTCTTTGTCATTTTAAGTTAATCAACTAAATAAACAGTTAACAGTCAGCTAAAAGAAAATACCTAACAAACTGCTTAGTTAACAAATAGCTAAAAACATTATATAGTAACAAAGAAATGGGCATTATTTCACGTATTCAAATGGCACCATAGAGTATGACGGGTTACAAGATTCTCTGAGCAACCTTAGCAACCTTAAATTTGCAGCTAAAGAGCAGTTTAAAAAGCTCAAGAAAGAAATTGATAAGATTAGAGGGCCTGATTCTATTGGGAAAAAGGGTTCAAGTTCTGAATTGTTGGGATTGAGTGGTATGGACAAATTGATTGATATGGATAGGGCACTTGATGGTCTTAGAAAAACTCTGGAGCCTATATACTCACAAACAGAAGATATGGTTTTCTTGTCTAAGTCATTGCTTCTTGACTGGCAGCAGGAGAGAGAATTTCAAACAGAAATTGAAGAAATGGTGATCAAGAATTGTCTTCAGAGTCTCCAAGAAGAGTTTGAGCAGAGACTGTGGGATCAAAATGCTCAATCTTATGGTATTGAAAGCACAAACCAGCTTGAAAAGATCAAAGAGATTTCAAAGTTACTTTGGGACTTAGATATCATATCCAAATCGTTATCTGCTCCTGAAAGTGGGCATTTAATTTCACACGGATCCTTGGAGCACCGAAAGGTTTCCGGTAGTCATGCCAAAGTGGGAAATGGCAAACATGACGAGTCAGTTATTGTTGTTCCAGAAAATTTGGATCATTCACAACTAAAGCACTTGTCGAAGCTTGTCGAAGGATGAATTGTTTAATCATTTAAAGGCTGAGATGACTAAAATGAAGAGACATTATGAGTTAAAAGAGCATGAAATGACTGAAGATTATTTCAGTCTCAAGAGGGAGTACTTGAAGTTGAAGGAAAGGCCTTCTGCTTTGCCTGTGGTGAAGGATAAGGAGTTTGATACATGGAGGAAAAAGATCTCAGAGATCATTCTAAAATTGGATGGCATCCTTATGGAAAATGAGAAACTGCCTTCATTTAGTAACAACGGAGATTGTCTTGACAATTTGAAGGATAGATTGGAATCTCTTTGCTCAGAAAATCACCAACTAAAGGACTTGCTCATGGATAAGGAAAAGGAAATAAAATGCCTTTCCTCACAAGTTTCTGCTGCTGCGGAGAAAATAGCTGAACAGTCTTTGGCTGAGGAAAACTTGTTAAGAATGTGCAATGATCTTAAATGTGCTATGGAAGATGCAGAGATTGAAGCTTCAGTTAGTGAAGATCTATACAAATTCCTTCTTAAGGAGGTCGTTGATCAAATGCAAGGCTTCAATCAAGAGTTAGATATGGAGTATGAAATCATATGAAATTGTCATACGGGAATTTATAAAAGTATTTTCGAGGAAGCTGTTTACAATGTGCGTGTGGCGGGTGAGCAGTGATTTATAAAATTATTTTCGAGGAAGCTGTTTACAATGCCGAGCATACTGGTACTTTAGAGATTGAAGATTCAGTTATAGAGTCCATTATAGCACAAGGAATATGTGAAGTTATTTTTAAAGAATCCTTCAAGGAAGCGGAGGAGAAAGTTGGTGCCTTGAACATGAAATATCTAAATGAAATTGAAGTTCGATTGTCCCTTGAGATGCAAGCATTGGAAAAGGAAAAGTTCTTGAGATTGAATATTGCAGAGAAAGAAAAGGCAGAGCAAGAGGTGCTCTTATTAAGGGAAATGGTTGATAACAAGACTAATTTGGTGCAAGAGGCAATGGAGGCTTTGGCAAAAGACGAGGAGACATTTGCGTTAGCTTCTCAAGAGCTTGACAAGTTAAGGGTTCAGAGAACTGAGCAGCAAATACTAATTGCAAATTATGATAAAGAATTACAAGCTGTCAAAGGTGATTTGCTTAGGGCAAGGGAGAAAGTTGAAATGGATAAAGAGGTGATCTTTGAGTTGAGAGAACAGGTTGAGACAGTAACAAAAAAGTTAGGAGAAGTTAATGAGGAGAAAACTATGCTTCTTTCTATTTCCCAAAAGCACCAGAATAGTTTATCATCAGTTGAAGCTAGAGAAAGAGAACAGAGGAAGCAAATAAAGTCTACCATTGTTCTTGTCCAAGGATTGTCAGAAGCAGTTACTAATTTTGAATGCAGGGCAACAGAATATATTAAAATAAATAGCTTGAGGTATATAATGCCACCTTTTGAAATAAACTTAAAACGATTTTCTGGAGTTGCTTTCTAATATGGTGCTTAGACTAGACAATTAAGTTTAGTAGGATGCCTCCGATTGCTGACATGGAAACCATGTTTGCATAAATGAATGAACTACAACATGACTTTGTTCCTGTGGTTATGGGAATGCTGCATTTAGATTTAACTCACATTATGAGATACTTGACATCTGTTAACTTCTAGAACTTGAACAAGTTTAACAGTGCAATTTACCTGGGAATCTCCTCCTTTAAGTCAATTTTCCTGTTCTATGGGTTTATGGCTAAAAACGTCATATGGGGGACAAATCTTTCTTTTGATCTGTGCCGTAATCATTTACTAATTGCTGGAGTTCTACATATACTTTCCTTGAGTTGTTTTCTTTAATGGCAAATTATGAACATGCTCTCCTGAATTTATTTGTTCGGACCATGACATAGGTATATTAGTGTTAGTCTTATGATATATTTCTAGCATGGACATAACCTCCAGTTTTAAAAAATGGTAACTTCTTCTGAATGTGGATTTGCCAAGAAAATGCTTGATGTTTATATAGTTATTTATTGTCATGATACTTGCATAATACCAATGTGTCCTTACTTGCAAGATTTGAAGCGTTACTAATTGAGACGGCTCTCAATTGATGAGGGTCCTTTTAGCATGCAGGTTCTTGTTGCCCTCGATTTCCATATCTATGCTTTCCACTCTGTTTACTTGATACTGCCCATGTTTTGTGCGCAAATTGCATGCCTAATTTCTGTTTTCAATATTTTAGTCGTGCTCCCCAATCTGTGAAGTTAATTGGCCTCCACTTATTAGCTGCCCTTTCTGGTCTGCCAAGTTTCAAGTTTTCATATTCAGCTTTTAACTAGAAAAACTTTGAGGGTGTTTTGAGCTTAAGATTTATTGATGCAAAAACAATAACATTTCCATGGCATCTTTTCCAGGTTGGAAGAATTGTGCTCTCAATTGAATTCTCTCATTCAGAAAGCTAACAAAGCCTAACGCAACTTAAGAGGGATTAAAAGGGAGGAGTTTCTGTACAAGCAGAGGCTTGAAAGGAGGTGTTCTGACCTTCAAAAGGCTGAAGCTGAGGTATGCCAGAAATTTCATCTCAAACACACACATGCGCATGCACACACATAGTTTTGTTATAAATTTTGTACATATTGATGTGTTTTGGGTTGATGTTGTGATCTAGAAAATGGTTCCATCACCAAAATGCATGTACAAGGAATTTAATCTGGTGCTTGAATTACATGTTTTGTTATTACAGTGCATTGTTTGAATTCAGAGTCTTTAGCTATTGCTGGATTACATGGTAGTTGGTGCTGTCAAATCTTTTAACAATTGTTTAAAAGTAGATATACTGATGTGATATACTGATGTGAAGCTAAATTCAAGTAATGGCTAGAGGCAGTTCATTAGTTACATAATAATGAATATAATGATATTAACTAATTTTGAAGCTTGGGATTGAAACATGAGTTGCCTCATTTCTTCCTATTTAGGGAACAAGATTATACCTGTGCAGTCTGCATTTCAAGATGCCTCATGTCTTTTGGTAAATGAACTAGAGGTAGCAAACTTGATGCAACCCATTAACATGCAATCTACAAAACTCGTATTTAGGTGGAATTGAACTGGGCGTAAATGGATTTGTGCAAAGATGGGTTTGACCCAGTTATGACATGCCAAAAGTTAGATTATAAATAGGTGACCGATGTGATCCAAAATGACACAATATAACCAAACCCAACAAACCCTCCCAATAAAAAAAAAAAAAAAAAAAAAAAAAAAAAAAAAAAATATGACACACACACACACACAGAGATGCAGGCTCTTAATTATTTGGGTTCAAAAGTTAACTTTTAGTGCCTGATATCATACATCTAAATCTACTAAAAGTAAAAATTGAAACATATTTTAAAGTAACTAAATTTAAAGTGAATAGGATGTAAATGTAAATTGATTAAAGGATTTTGATTGGACATGATATCATACATCTATTGATGAAATGCTTGTGAATATTTTGTTATTGTTAGTTATGTGTATGGGCACATATTTTCAATTTGTTAAATACAGTTTTTCTTGAATCTCAGGTTGATCTTTTAGGTGATAAGGTGGACACACTTCTAAGTCTTCTACTTCTAAGTCTTCTTGAAAAGATATACATAGCACTGGACCATTATTCTCCAATATTGAAACACTATCCTGGGGTAAGATGCTTCTACTCTGTTGATTACACTACTGAATTATTGCGTGCTTGCGCTTTTTTCTGTTCGTATAATTGAATTCAATGCCTTTGTTCTTGCATCTACTTCTGCGCAACATTGCTTGCCTTATATTATGTTAAGATTGATATTAACTCTCGGTTTTCCAAAATAAAATAAAACCATCTACTCATCGAGCTTTTCATTTTAATCAGATTATGGAAATTCTAAAGCTGGTTAGAAGAGAATTAAGTGGAGAATCTGTTAAACCAGTTTGATCTGTTTGTTTGACAAGGTAACGTTTCCACATTATCAACTTCATCGTTGTCGGTGGTTTCAATGTTGAATTGCCATCTAACTTGGCTTATATACACCAGAATTTCATCTTAACTCATCTATCGATCCATTATCGATGAACAGATAAAAGCTACATAGTTTCTTTTGGTACTGTTGCAAAGTCTTCTAGTACTACATTATTATTATCTGGGACATAGTTCCAAGTAACTTGAAGCCAAAATAAATGGTATTGCAGCAAGTTCATGCTAACTGCATCTGGAGAAGATATTATCTTTTGTCAGCATCTGGAGAAGATATTATCTTTTGTCAGTATTTTGGTTCGATATAAAGGAAAATTTGAGCAAACGAAGAGATACCAAGCAGTCGCAAGAATACAAGCAGGGCAACCACGGAGCCTCCTTTCTCTTTTCGTTTTGTATAGGATTGTCCCACATTTTCAGTTTTGAAGCATCTATCTCAACAAGTTACAGGCGTTAGTTTCTGATATAGATAAGGCTCAAAGTAAAGCATTCCCTTTGCTACTAGGAAACTGCAAATTGTCATTTATTTTCCTGTATGAAGTTCTCTGTACTCTATAGGTTTAGCTTGTAATGTATAGTGTTTGCCCAGTCTGTTAAATGAAAAAGAAAGTACTCTTTTGGGCTACTTTTTTTTTTTTTTTTTGATACTTTCTTTTTGATAATACCATTGTCCTTCTAAAAAAAAAAAAAAAAAAAATAGCGATGTGTGGTGTTGATTGCCAGATACATATTGTTGATTGCCAGATACATATTTTTCTGCATAGGCTGCATTCTGTGGCATACAGGTGAAAAAAAAAAGTATCAGTCAATTTATCCATCTGGAAGAGTAAAATTGAAAATTAAAAAATTTAATTAAAAGAAAATCCATTAACTATTTATCCATCTGGCAGAGTAAATTTGAAAATTAAAAAAAATAATTAAAAGAAAATCCATTAAATAATTATCATATTGATGCTTATTTCATAATAAATCAACAGGTGAGAGCAAAAAATAAAAAAGAAAAAAAGAAGAATGTTCTTCCAAGAGATGCCAAGACTTAGGAGGCCGCTGTTTAAAAATCTATCTCCTGCACACTATGCTTAAGAGTTTTATTTCCCAAGTTTTCCCAATATTTTGAACTTCACAGTTAAACAAGGTAAACAACAATCAAGGTCAGCTATGGCAGTTCTAACAAACAATTCAAGGTCAGTATGGCAGTTCTCACTTATCTTTCACTTGATTCTTTCATGTAATTCAAAGCCAGCAATGCTGCCCCAACAGCTGGTTCAACCTGATGAATCCAGATCAGAAAATTTTAGACAAAAAGATTTTTAAATAATAATAATAATAATAATAATAATAAGATTCTCGTCTAACTCTTATGAGGAGAAGAAACATCTAGTGATGAGGTTTAGATACATAGAATTCCACCAGGAAATGTCTCTCCATGTGAAGAAATTAATTAGACAATCCAAAAAAACTTTAATATTGCAGCAAGGGCTGATTTTAACAAGGGCTGATTTTAAGATTAAAAATGTAGTATGCAAAGGAGCAAACAATCATCAATTTTAGATTTTTAAAGAAGTAAACAAGCTGGGTTGGGAACCAGCAAAATTTTGCATTTAGAATGAATGAGCAGATGCTAACCTGTGGTCTGACCGGAAAAGCCCCAGGAAATTGATCCTGGATGCACTTCAGGACTTCTTTTCCAATATCCCAGTTCTTATTTGCTTCAAGGACACCGCCAACCATGACAACAGGGAAAGAACCTTTTCTATCTGCAATACAAAACTGATGTGTCTTGATTCTTGAAGAAGGTGAAGTCCATGAAAGCAGACAAAACTAATATACATGCATGTTAGAACTTAGAAGCACTGTTTTTCCTATACATGCATATTAAATCATTGCTACCGCAGTCAAAATTGTTGTCTGTTAGAACTTAGAAGCACTGTTTTTCCTATACATGCATATTAAATCATTGCTACCGCAGTCAAAATTGTTGTCAGTAAATCACATCACTACAAGAACAAGCGAACCACGGATATATAGATATTCTAAGCTCATAAAGGTGAAAAAAAGACGATAGAAACTGATAAAAAATAAAGAAGAAAATATATAACACAAAGAACATTGTTTATCTAATAAGCAAATACTAAATGAGTATGATAAGAGCAGTTTGGCAGCTTCACCACATAAACCGAGTCTGTGAACAACGGTTTTCACACGTAAAGCTAATTCCTGGACTGCATGAAGTAAGATTCTTATTTGCAACTTGATCAGAAGCTTCAGCACAAGCCACCACTTCCGGAACAATCGTTTTTTAGCTAGCTTTTAACATTTTGATCAAGTTAAGTATCTATCATTTGTTTTGTTTTGTTTTGTTTTATTTGTTTATTTGAAATGTTAGTAAGCTTAAGTAATTTTACTTTTTAGCTTAATTAAGCTTAAAGCTTTTTGTTTGTGAGCTGAGAAATGGAGGAGGAAGAAGGATAGAAGATTATTTTTTGATTGTTTGGTTTTTTATTTTTGTTTCTTTAGAGCTTTTTTTGTCGATTGAAATATTGCATTATGATGAAGCAAATCAGTTTTAGCTTAATACTTCATTGATATTAATAAATGCTCTTTTTTATTGTAACTCAAATTACTTCATTGATATATAACTTTATTAGTAACATCTTCTATTAATTATTTTAAAATTTATTTCTTTTTATTCATTTTAAAAATAAATGAATTGGATTTTGATGGCTCTTTCATAAATTCACAAAATTAATAAAAACTCTTACGATCGAAATAATTTGAACTTGAGAATTTTCATCATCCACGTTTCTATAAAGTTTCCATAAAAGTGAAGAAATACCAATGAGATGAAATATGAAAATTTTTATAAAAATTTTGAGTTTTAACTTTTTATTTATTTATTTATATTATTAATTAGATCCTAGTTATTAAAGTAAACAATTACTATTGTCATGTAATTGATAATATTATTATTGTTATATAGCTCAATTTTAATATTATATAATTCCATTTAGTTTATTTGAAATAAGTTCGGATGTATGAAAGAATGTATTGGTTTGGGTTTAGTTTTGGGATGTATTAAGCTTTTTTTGAATTAAATTAATAAAATAATAATTCAAATTGTTGATAAACAATTTTTAGTTAATATAACTTTTAAGAAACATAAAAAAATAAAGAAAAACTAAAATTATTATTATTATTATATTAATTATTATTATATATTATTATTATTATTATTTATCTCTCTTTCTTTTTCTTTTATAGGGTAATACAATACCCTATTCTTTCTGGGTTGAACAGTCTCCTACCAACTAACTGACCAACATTACTATCATGAAGTTACAATTCAATGCCACGAAATTGATGTTAAAGATGATGACGTGTCCCGAACAATCCACTTCAAGCAGCAAATTTGCTTTTTAATTTTCTAGAGAAACAAATATAAATATCTATTTAAATAATAATTTTCATAACTTCTTTTTACTTAACAAAAATAGAAAAATAAATATTCAATTTAAGAATTTAAAGAAAAAAAACAATTATTCCAAGCATGAATTGATGAATGCGAACAAAACAGTTTATTACTATTACTCATTTCAAGATTCAATTGTTGTCGGCAAAACAAGATTGGAAAAGCATTTAAAGCAAGGAGTTGCATTCTAGGTTTCGAAATTTTAATGCCTTTTTATTTTTATTTTTTAAAATAATCTACAATATTTACTCTCTTTATTAGCTACGCTTTTCTTTTTCGTTTTTGTTTTCTTTTTCTTAAATTATAATCCATTTATTATTATCTCGGTTTCATAATATTTATCACATTTAAGAAAAATAGTTTGTTTCAAAATACTTGTCATATTTGTGGTTTCAAAAAATAAATTTTTTTTTTTATGTTTATCCTTTGTATACGACTAATAATTATTATTTCAATTTAACAGTTTTTTTAGGAAAATAGTGTTACATTAAGGCTAATATAATCAATTTACTCAATAATTTATTGTAATTTATACAAATTTAATGATTTTTTTAAAAAATGTGAAATTCGAAATGTGATAAGTATTATGTAACAGAAGTAGTAGTATTAAATTAAGGGTAATATAATTAATTTACTCAATAATTTATTGTAACATAGACAAATTTAATATTGGTTTTCTTAAGGGACATGAAATCGACAAGTGTTATGGAACAAAGATAATAATTAATCTTGATTGATGCAAAAGTCAATATAATAACAATAATAAATATTAAATATGATAAAAATATAATATCTTTGAGAATTATAATTTTATCGGTTGAAAATGGTTATATTAATCTCTTATTTAAACCTAAATTTGATTAGATAAAATAAAAAATTATATTATTAACCAATAGATATATATTAAATATAATTAAATTATTTTTATGTTTTCAACCAATAAAATTAAAATTTTTAAAATATTATATTCTTATCATATTTAATATATACCTTTAAAAAATTTAATATTCCTTATCTTTATTTTAATATATTACCTTAATATACTATATATAATTTTTTATTTTATCTAATATAATTTTGATTTAAATAGAAAATTAATATACAATCAATAAAAATTAAATTTCCTTTATTTTTCAACCAATAAAATTAAAAGTTGTTAATGATACTTTTATCAATCAAATAGGAAGTGTTTTTGCAATCCCATATTCCCCAACCAGTTCATACTTCTAGAATAGATATATTATTATAGATTTTTTATATATATCAAAAAAATATATATTTTGGATATACAAAATAGTTGATGGCTTCTTGCAATTTGTTTTTCAAGTAGCTCCATTCATAAGGAAAAGGTTGCTGGGTTGGGCTTAAAAGGCAATGGTTCTTTTGGCCCAACCTAAATGGGTAACTAAACTCATAGTTAATAGTGCCCATTCTTGGGCTGGGCTTGAGTTTTTCAAATTGGCCTAAAACCTTAATTGATGATTTAAAAAAGTATTAAATTATAATGAATCTTTTGGATTATATGTTAGCTTGAAAAATTCAAAATAATACAACACCAATAAAAATTATAATTTATGTACTAATTTTATTTCATTAATCCGATTATCATTTTTAAAATAATCGATTGAAATTCAAAAATTAAATTTATTTCCATCGAAATAATAAAAATTTATTAATTTACTTCGATTATTTTATTTACAGTCAAGCAGTTCCAACCCAATACCAGAAAATTGAAATATTTTTAAGTTACTGACAAAAACTAATTACCTCTCATCAAAATAATTAAATATTATTGAAGGAAATGAGAGCTATCCTTATTACATAGCTTATTTTCCTTATTAATAGCTTATTTTTAATTGTAATTTATGGTTTGGATTTTATCATTTATTATTTATTAGGAGTATTCCAATTAAGTTATATATATATATATTAAATATATATATATATATATATATATATATATATATACGTGAAGAGCAGAGAGAGAGAGAGAAGAGAGAGAGAGAGAGAGAGAGAGAGAGAGAGAATTAGGGGCGTGCAAACCGGTGGTATGGTTATGAACCGAACCGAACTGAAAAAATAAAAAATTGAAAGTAGATTTCCTTTAAAGTTGAATCAAACCGAATTAAATTTAATAATTGAATTAAGCCAATCGGTTTAGTTCGACAGTGAAACACCCTGAATTTTTATTTTCGAAACATTTGAATTTTTATTAAATCAAAATTTGAATTTTTTTTGACGGTTTGGGCCGTAAATAGTGAACAATCTTAATTTGAGTTCAAGTTTTGCAAATTGGGCCCAAGCCCAAATATAATGTCGAAAATTTTGAAATCGAGAACAGTTAATTGAAAAATCGAGAAACAGTTAAATTTTTGAGTAAATAAAATGAAAGTTTCCAGCAATTAATCTTAATTATGTATATATATAAATTAATTTTCCTGAAAAATCAATATGATTACTAACTATGTTTTTAATTTTTGTTTAGCTAATGGAGGACATGTTATGAAACCTAATTAAAATATTAAAAATAAATTGAATGCCGGACCCCGAAAATCGCAAATTGATTAATTCGAGAGAATCCAAGTGGAAAAAAACCCTATAAACCGAGTAAAAATCGACGAATCAATAAATTAGACCAAATACAGTTTGAATCGAACCGGAAGTATAGACCCAAGCCCAAGATTTTTCTTTCTTTTCTTTTTTCTTTTCTTTTTCTTTTTCTTTTTTTTCTTTTTTTTCTTTCCCTTCTTCTTCCTTGCGCCAGGAACAGCGCGCGACCTCCTCCTCCTTCTCTCCCCGTTTCCGACCACCAGAGCCGATCGAGCTCATCTCCTGGCCGATGCGTCACCACTGCAGCTACTCAGGCCTCCCTTCCCTGCTCTCCTTCGTTCCTGGTGAGCGCAGCAGCCGCAGGAGGGCCGCGATGTCGCTCGACCGTGAATCACGTCTCCAGCTCAATTTTTCCGGCGATCCCAAGCCACGAGCCAGGTGCAGTCGACCTCCTGTCCTCCCCTATCTCTATTTTATAGCTTCAATCTTGAGTGATTTCACCTGGATCAGAAAATCCAAAGAGGAGCGGCTGGCCGAAGGTTTAGAAGCAATTTCCAACCAAATGAGGCACAATCAGTTCAAATTGGTCATATAATCGAGGTCCTGGCATAATTTCGAGCATTTTGGTGTGTGAATCACAAATTTCTGGGCAAGATCGACTTTTCGGCCACCGTGCACGGCTGCCGGCGGCGCATTCCGGTGACCAGCCGGCAACACTCCGGCAAGACTCTGAGAGGCAGAATTCTCTTCTCTTCGTGCTGATCGTGGAATCTTCGCCCAAATTTCAATTGGTACGCTCTAAGACTCCATTCCTAATTCTTGGTATAAATTCCAAATTTATAATAATATGTATTTAAGTCCTTTAGAATAATCGTTGGTAACCAAAATGTGAAATATAAATTGGAAATAGTTAATTAGATAATTAGATAGCCATTAGCCTAAAACTAGTTGATCATGCATAAGAAAAGTAAAATGAGTGCTTAGTCGGTTAAGGGCGGTTAGGTGCGTAATTCTATTAAGCTTATGATTTAATAAATATTCTTACATGGTTAGTGAATATGTATTAGTTGTTATTAGAAGCCGAAACACGTGTATTATATCTAGATGATTATGTAGATTGAAAATGATATATTATAGCAATCACAATGATTGCTAATACATTGGAACATGCTTGGAGGTTAATATAAATTGTTAATTAATTGATTTGGAATTATTAAGTGTATATATGTGAGTGTGATGGATCATATATGTAGCCTGAAGCGGATGAGTTGGCTGGATTGATTGCCCGATGGATGGGCTGTGTGAATTGAGTGATTTATTTACTTAATGTTATATTGTAAGTTAAAGTTTGACATTGACGATTAAATATTGATGTGATTATTTTGGATGGAGGAAGGGAAATAAATTTGTTTAATTGCCCGTTGGATGGGCTGTGTGTATTGATTGAATAATACTTAGTGTTATTGGGACATTGAAACAGTTTGATAGTCCCATTTTTAGGGGAGATGCTGCCGAAATTTCAATAGAACCTAGACTAATTTTTTAAGTAATAACATAATAAATAAGCTTATTTAGATAATTTCTATAATTTGACACATAATAAATAAGGTGCTTTAGTTACTTTATCATTATCATTATTATTCATTCTATTCATTCATTATTTATTTATGATCATTATCATTGTTTTATCGTTATTATTATTTATTTTAATCCATTGTTTATTGTTAATGGTTATGCATTTATTATTTATTGGCATTTTAAGGAATGGATGTCTAATTGTGCATTGCATCACGATGTTCAAGAGTCTGATCAATAATGGTCTGCATTAATTGGCAATGTTTTGATTAATTGTGTTTGTGAAGTGCTATGCTTGTTTGTGTGGGATCTGGATGAAGTGGGGTCACCAATGGGGTTTGTGAGGACGGTCGAATAAAGCATGGATCCTGATTATGATGACTTTGAATTGGACCGTCGGCCGGTGAAAAATGGGAGATCGCGCCCGTGTGCATCTACCGCTATGATTTGTATGATTGGAAAACCACAGTTGGCTTCTTTATTGGGCGCAACCTGATTATCTAGATTTGATCGCAGCCGCAGGATAGCCCTCCCAGCTGTTGTGAGCCTCCTGATGATCTAGATTTGAAGGAGACCGACGGCGTTGCCCTCCTGTTGGTATGGTAAAAGAAAAGAGAGAATGGAAAAACAATGAGAGGGCTGATCAATGAGGATTAGACCGGTCGGACCAGTATGGGGTATCGGCTTCCTGGTGCACAGTTATGAAGTAGGAATGGGCCATGTGGGAGGACGCTCATCAGGGTTTCGGTGACGCACAGGACCAAATTTCCACCTGTGATGTTGATTATATGAAGATGTTAACAATTGTGAGTGCTGGGTGATTATGCACTTGTGTGACTGGCCTTGTTGTGAGCATATAACTAAGTCGGAGGACATTGATTGATATATTTATACATTTGTGTGAATGTTGTGTGAATGCGTGTGTTGTGCAATAAATATTACTCCTTAGAAAACTCACATCTCTTTTGTTTAAATCTTTCAGGAAGTAGCATTTTCTAAATTTCAGCTATAGCTCTGCTCTTTCGCTGTTTAAAAGAAATTCTCTAATTTTAGTTTTGATCTATTAAATAGATAAATGTCCAAAGGCTTGTCTGTATACATCTGTTAGTGAAATCCGCAGTTGTAGAATTTGTGTACAATTAGTCGTGTACTAACATAGACGATATAATTACGTGAGCCCTATTAAAGATGTGATGTATTGTTAATTAGGCCCGAACTATGAAATTTTGTAGAAGATAAATTTGGGCCGAGATGTAATAAAATCTTGAGGTTTATTTTTCAGTAATATGGTATGGGCTGAATATTTGAAATTTATATTGAGATAGTAAGTTGTAGTGTTTCAGGCTTACTACGGGCCTCAGGGGCCTTAAGTTTACCTGGGCCCTAGTACCGGTCCGGCCCATGGAAACGGGTCGTGACAGACAGACATCGGTTTAGTCAAACAGTTCGATTTTACTTAAAAAATGAATATTTTAAAATAACCGATTCAAAGACAGAAAATTGAAATTATATAATCCGAAACCAAAAACTAAATAACCAAACAAAAGACAGAAAATAATTTGGTTGAGTTTGATTTTTGATTTTTTCCAAAGTTTGCTCATCCCTGTGTATAACCCTTCAATATTTAAGTTGTAGCTTTACCCTCGAAGGAAAGGAATCCCATGTAAACTCCCACTTCACTTTATGATTGGGATTCCACTATTGAATTAAGTTGTAGCTTTGCCCTTGAAGGGAAGGAATCTCATGGAAACCATATTTTCCAGTTCACGTTATGACTGGGATTCCACTATTGAATTAAGTTGTAGCTTTACCCTTGAAGGGAAGGAATCCCATGCAAACCATATTTTCCACTTCACTTTATGATTGGGATTCCACTATAGATTTGGATTTTAGTGTTTCATTAGTTATCCAAAAATTGTCATTGAGATTGGATCTATTAAGAGACAAAGATTTGACCAAAAGTAAGTAAAAGAGAGGGAAATAAAATAATGATTATGTTGTGCATGATTGTGAAATAAAAAAGTAATTAAAAGTAATTAATTGGTTTGATTAGTTGGATTTTGCATTTCTTAATGATTCTTTAATTCCATCCTAAGTCATGCAATGCCAATAGTATATTGATTTGATTTCCATCAACCTCATTTCTTATGGTTCATAATGGCTTCATTTTTAAGGACCTTATAAGTAAAAATGGTTATAATTTTTGTTAACACTTATCATTTTGGAATATGAAATTTAATTGAATTTTTTATTTTGTTATGTTAATGTGTTTTTTTATTTTGATATGTTAATATGTTTTTTCATAATTATATAGAAGTAGTGCTTTGAGCTTTGTTGTTTTGTTTTTAATTTGTGTTTCAGCTTTATTTTTTATCAATTAAGACTTTGTTGGAAAATCGTTTTTTAGCTAACTTTTAATATTTTGATCAAGTTAAGTATTTATTTTTATTTATTGTATTGTTCAATATAGCTTTTAGAAGCTGATGAATTTTTTCATGAAATATTAAACACACTAACATCTAGCGTATTTATTGTATTGTTCAATATAGCTTTTAGAAGCTGATGAATTTTTTCATGAAATATTAAACACACTAACATCTAGCGTCAGAGAGATTAATTAAATTTTTTTAAAGTTATACTCATTATTTTTTTTCTTGAATTTAATTAATAAAATATCTAATATTCTTCTTGTCATTTTTAGTTAATCAACAAAATAAACAGTTAACGATCAGCTAAAAGAAAATACCTAACAACTGCTCAGTTAACAAATAGCTAAAAACATTATATAGTAACAAAGAAATGGGCATTATTTCACGTATGCAAATGGCACCATAGCGTATGACGGGTTACAAGATTCTTTGAGCAACCTTAAATTTGCAGCTAAAGAGCAGTTTAAAAAGCTCAAGAAAGAAATTGATAAGATTAGAGGGCCTGATTCTATGGGTAAAAAGGGTTCAAGTTCTGAATTGTTGGGATTGAGTGGTATGGACAAATTGATTGTTGTGGATAGGGCACTTGATGGTCTTAGAAAAATTCTGGAGTCTATATACTCACAAACAGAAGATATGGTTTGCTTGTCTAAGTCATTGCTTCTTGACTGGCAGCAAGAGAGAGAATTTCAAGCAGAAATTGAAGAAATGTTGATCAAGAATTATCTTCAGAGTCTCCAAGAAGAGTTTGAGCAGAGACTGTGGGATCAAAATGCTCAATCTTATGGTATTGAAAGCACAAAACAGATTGAAAAGATCAAAGAGATTTCAAAGTTACTTTTGGAATTAGATATCATATCCAAATCGTTATCTGTTCCTGAAAGTGGGCATTTAATTTCACACGGATCCTTGGAGCACCGAAAGGTTTCCGGTAGTCATGCTTCATCACCTTCACTTTGGGAGGGAAATGGCAAACATGACGAGTCAGTTATTGTTGTTCCAGAAAATTTGGATCATTCACAACTAGAGCTCTTGTCGAAGGATGAATTGTTTAATCATTTAAAGGCTGAGATGACTAAAATGAAGAGACATTATGAGTTAAAAGAGCATGAAATGACTGAAAATTATTTCAGTCTCAAGAGGGAGTACTTGAAGTTGAAGGAAAGGCCTTCTTCTTTGCCTGTGGTGAAGGATAAGGAGTTTGATACATGGAGGGAAAAGATCTTAGAGATCATTCTAAAATTGGATGGCATCCTTATGGAAAATGAGAAACTGCCTTCATTTAGTAACAACGGAGATTGTCTTGACAATTTGAAGGATAGATTGGAATCTCTTTGCTCAGAAAATCACCAACTAAAGGACTTGCTCATGGATAAGAAAAAGGAAATAAAATGCCTTTCCTCACATGTTTCTGATGCTGCAGAGGTGATCTTTGAGTTGAGAGAACAGGTTGAGACAGTAACAAAAAAGTTAGGAGAAGTTAATGAGAAAAAATCTATGCTTCTTTCTATTTCCCAAAAGCACCAGAATAGTTTATCATCGGTTGAAGCTAGAGAAAGAGAACAGAGGAAGCAAATAAAGTCTACCATTGTTCTTGTTCAAGGATTGTCAGAAGCAGTTACTAATTTTGAATGCAGGGCAACAGAATATATTAAAATAAATAGCTTGAGGTATGTAATGCCACCTTTTGAAATAAACTTATAACGATTTTCTGGAGTTGCTTTCTGATATGGTGCTTAGACTAGACAATTAAGTTTAGTAGGATGCCTCCGATTGCCGACATGCAAACCATGTTTGCATAAATGCATGAACTACAACATGACTTTGTTCCTGTGGTTATGGGAATGCTGCATTTAGATTTAACTCACATTATGAGATACTTGACATCTGTTAACTTCCAGAACTTGAACAAGTTTAACAGTGCAATTTACCTTGGAATCTCCTCCTTTAAGTCAATTTTCCTGTTCTATGGGTTTATGGCTAAAAACGTCATATGGGGGACAGATCTTTCTTTTGATCTCTGCCGTAATCATTTACTAATTGCTGGAGTTCTGCATATACTTTCCTTGAGTTGTTTTCTTTAATGGCAAATTATGAACATGCTCTCCTGAATTTATTTGTTCGGACCATGACATAGGTATGTATAATAAGGTTGATGGTAGATTTTGGTTCAAATCTTAGCTATATTAGTGTTAGTCTTATGATATATTTCGGGCATGGACATAACCCCCAGTTTTAAAAAATGGTCACTTCTTCTGAATGTGGATTTGCCAAGAAAATGCTTGATGTTTGTATAGTTATTTATAGTCATGATACTTGCATAATACCAGTGTGTCCTGACTTGCAAGATTTGAAGCGTTACTAATTGAGACGGCTCTCAATTGATGAGGGTCCTTTTAGCATGCAGGTTCTTGTTGCCCTGGATTTCCATATCTATGCTTTCCACTCTGTTTGCTTGATACTGCCCATGTATTGTGCGCAAATTGCATGCCTAATTTCTATTTTCAATATTTTAGTCGTGCTCCCCAATCTGTGAAGTTAAGTGGCCTCCACTTATTAGCTGCCCTTTCTGGTCTGCCAAGTGTCTTAAATTGTGCCCCGAATTGATTTCATATGAACCACACCAATTTAGTGTTTGCTATATTGAATAATTCTTTGCTTAGTCGTTAGTTTCAAGTTTTCATATTCAGCTTTTAGCTAGAAAAACTTTGAGGGTGTTTTGAGCTTAAGATTTATTGATGCAAAAAGAATAACATTTCCATGGCATCTTTTCCAGGTTGGAAGAATTGTGCTCTCAATCGAATTCTCTCATTCAGAAAGCTAACGCACTTAAAAGGGAGGAGTTTCTGTACAAGCAGAGGCTTGAAAGGAGGTGTTCTGACCTTCAAAAGGCTGAAGCTGAGGTATGCCAGAAATTTCATCTCAAACACACACATGCGCTTGCACATACACAGTTTTGTTATAAATTTTGTACACATTGATGTGTTTTGGGTTGATGTTGTGATCTAGAAAATGGTTCCATCACCAAAATGCATGTACAAGGAATTTAATGTGGTGCTTGGATTACATGTTTTGTTATTACAGTGCATTGTCATGTTTTTGTTTATTACATGCATTTGTTTGGAAATGTTCAGAAGTTTTAGCTATTGCTGGATTACATGGTAGTTTGGTGATAGTCAAATTTTCTTTTTGTCAAATCTTTTAACAATTGTTTAAAAGTAGATATACTGATGTGAAGCTAAATTCAAGTAATGGCTAGAGGCAGTTCATTAGTTACATAATCATGAATTTAATGATATTAACTAATTTTGAAGCTTGGGATTGAAACATGAGTTGCCTCATTTCTTCCTATTTAGGGAACAGGATTATACCTGTGCAATCTGCATTTCAAGATGCCTCATATCTTTTGGTATTTCAAGATGCTCATGTCTTTTGGTAAATGAACTAGAGGTAGCAAACTTGATGCAACCCATTAACATGCAATCTACAAAAATCGTATTTAGGTGGAATTGAACTGGGCATAAATGGATTTGTGCAAAGATGGGTTTGACCCAGTTATGACATGCCAGAAGTTAGATTATAAATGGGTGACCGATGTGATTCAAAATGATACAATATAAACAAAACCCAACAAACCCTCCCGATAAAATAAAATTAAAAAAAATATGACACACACACACACACACACACAGATGCAGGCTCTTAATTATTTGGGTTCAAAAGTTAATTTTTAGTGCCTGATATCATACATCTAAACCTACTAAAAAATTTTTTTGGGTTATTTTCCTGTTATGCAAATATGTTGACATGATTTGTTTATGACATGACAACACGAATTGATAGCCCCAAAGTAAACTCCCTGATCAAGGTGCCTCAAAGTCAAACCTAATCTCTGCAGAGAAGCTCCCAATTCCTTCCATAGAATGGAAAGATCTTGCCGTTGAAATTGGAATAGTAGGAACAGACAAAGAAATCTTAGCAGCTTAAAGAAGGAATGGTTAATTTTATTGATGAGAATTTTTTTTTCTTGCTAAAGTGCAACCAAAATTCTTTTAGAAACCTAATAGGAAATACTGTTGTTGAAGAATCATATTCATATACCCCAAATATGTTAACAAGGGAAGGGAGAGTTATAAGTTGTTAGAATTCCTTATCGAGTTATCTGTTGCACTCTTTGGAATTGCACTGCTAGATAAAATTTTACAATTGTCCACGTGATTTTATCATTGGTTTTGAGATACTGATTTGGTAGCAAGGTATTCTAAATGTATTTGCATGCTAAAAATCAGTTGATGACCTAATTTACTAGAATAGAAACAGTGGCAATGGAAATGCCAATCAATTATTGTGGTGCCACAGGGATTTATAGCCTCAGTCTTTAAAGGAGAAAAGCAAATCCTAGAATCTAACACTGAATCTTGTGAATGTGTATATGGTTTGTCTATCTGGTTGAAATTTGAAGTTAAGGCCTATGAAATTAATCTATTAATGAAATGCTTGTGAATATTTTGTCATTTTTAGTTATGTGTATGGGCACACTTCTAAGTCTTCTTGAAAAGATATACATCACTGGACCATTATTCTCCAATATTGAAACACTATCCTGGGGTAAGATGCTTCTACTCTGTTGATTACACTACTGAATTATTGCGTGCTTGCCCTTTTTACTGTTCGTATAATTGAATTCAATGCCTTTATTCTTGCATCTACTTCTGCGCAACATTGCTTGCCTTATATATATTATGTTAAGAATGATATTTACTCATCGAGCTTTTCATTTTAATCAGATTATGGAAATTCTAAAGCTGTTTAGAAGAGAATTAAGTGGAGAATCTGTTTAACCTGTTTGATCTGTTTGTTTGACAAGGTAACGTTTCCACATTATCAACTTCATCGTTGTCGGTCGTTTTAATGTTGAATTGCCATCTAACTTGGCTTATATACACCAGAATTTCATCTTAACTCATCTATCCATCCTTTTTCTATGAACAGATAAATGCTACATAGTTTCTTTTGGTACTGCTGCAAAGTGTTCTAGTACTACATTATTATCTGGGACATCGTTCCAAGTAACTTGAAGCCAAAATAAATGCGTTTCCAAGTAACTTTGAAGGCCAAATAAAATGGTATTGCAGGCAAGTTCATGCAACTGCATCTGAGAAGATTATTATCTTTGCATCTGGAGAAGATATTATCTTTTGTCAGTATTTTGGTTCGATATAAAGGAAAATTTGAGCAAACGAAGAGATACCAAGCAGTCGCAAGAATACAAGCAGGGCAACCACGGAGCCTCCTTTCTCTTTTCGTTTTGTATAGGATTGTCCCACATTTTCAGTTTTGAAGCATCTATCTCAACAAGTTACAGGCGTTAGTTTCTGATATAGATAAGGCTCAAAGTAAAGCATTCCCTTTGCTACTAGGAAACTGCAAATTGTCATTCTGGAAGAGTAAAATTGAAAATTAAAAAAATTAATTAAAAGAAAATCCATTAACTATTTATCCATCTGGCAGAGTAAATTTGAAAATTAAAAAAAAAATAATTAAAAGAAAATCCATTAACTAATTATCATATTGATGCTTATTTCATAATAAATCAACAGGTGAGAGCAAAAAATAAAAAAGAAAAAGGAAGAATGTTCTTCCAAGAGATGCCAAGACTTAGGAGGCCGCTGTTTAAAAATCTATCTCCTACACACTATGCTTAAGAGTTTTATTTCCCAAGTTTTCCCAACATTTTGAACTTCACAGTTAAACAAGGTAAACAACAATCAAGGTCAGCTATGGCAGTTCTCTCTTGATTCTTTCATGTTATTCAAAGCCAACAATGCTGCCCCAACAGCTGGTTCAACCTGATGAATCCAGATCAGAAAATTTTAGACAAAAAGATTTTTAAATATTAATAATAATAATAGTAATAATAATAATAATAAGATTCTCGTCTAACTCTTATGAGGAGAAGAAACATCTAATGATGAGGTTTAGATACATAGAATTCCACCATAAAATGTCTCTCCATGAGAAGAAATTAATCATACAATCCAAAAAAACTTTAATATTGTATCAAGGGCTGATTTTAAGATTAAAAATGTAGTATGCAAAGGAGCAAACAATCATCAATTTTAGATTTTTAAAGAAGTAAACAAGCTGGGTTGGGAACCAGCAAAATTTTGCATTTAGAATGAACGAGCAGATGCTAACCTGTGGTCTGACCGGAAAAGCCCCAGAAAATTGATCCTGGATGCACTTCAGGACTTCTGGGATGCACCTTCAGACGTTCTTTTCCAATATCCCAGGTTACTTATTAGCTTTCAAAGGGGGACACCGCCAACCATCAAACAGGGAAAGAACTATTCTGTCTGGCAATCAACTGATTGTGTCTTGATTCGTGAATCTGCAATACAAAACTGATGTGTCTTGATTCTTGAAGAAGGTGAAGTCCATGAAAGCAGACAAAACTAATATACATGCATGTTAGAACTTAGAAGCACTGTTTTTCCTATACATGCATATTTATCATTGCTACCGCAGTCAAAATTGTTGTCAGTAAATCACATCACTACAAGAACAAGCGAACCACGGATATATAGATATAAGCTCATAAATGTGAAAAAAAGACAATAGAAACTGATAAAAAATAAAGAAGAAAATATATAACACAAAGAACATTGTTTATCTAATAAGCAAATACTAAATGAGTATGATAAGAGCAGTTTGGCAGCTTCACCACCTAAACCGAGTCTGTGAACAACGGTTTTCACACTTAAAGCTAATTCCTGGACTGCATGAAGTAAGATCTTACTTGCAACTTATTGTGGCGGTGCCCACTCAGTGGGACCCACAATTGAAATTAAATAATAAAAGGCCCTCCGAGTGGGACCCATACAGCTTGAAAATAAGAGAAGAGAAGAAAATTGTTTTCGGTAATTAGATTTGATTTTCGGTGTACGCGTTAATCACGCGTCCAGCTTTCCTATACATAGGAGATGGCTCAGTGCATCTCACCACACCAACACAAGTAGAGCAAAAGAAAAAGAAAGATTTAGAGAGTTTCAGTTTAAGAAAGGGTTCTAAAATTAGGGTAGAGAAAATAGTGAAGATAATTTGGGGTGTTTTCGAAAAACACTTTTTGAGTGCCACTATTTTTATATTACTCTCTTTGTAAGCCTATTATTTTTTAGTAGAAGAAATATTCGGAGTTGGTCTTGTGGACGTGGCCCTAAACAATTAAAGGGTGAATCACATAAATGTCTGTGTGTCATATTTCTATTTTTCCGCTGTATTATTATTCTTGTCATTTTATTGTCTAGGCCCTAACAAATGGTATCAGAGCCGAAGGTTCCAACAGATCCAGCCGGGCAGATAACGGTACCGGATCTGTGGATATATTTTGAAAATAAATATATTACAACGACGAGAAAATTACGACGAGTCCATTGGTGCAGTTCGTTCGAAAAGGCGTTACAGAAACGACCTAGTGATGAATAGTAAAATAGTAACTCAAAGTTTATGGTGAGCACTATTCACATGTGCAGTTACTATTCACGCATACAAATACTGTTTATGTATACTATTACTATTCACGCATATGGTCACTATTCACGTATACAATTTTTGTTAGTGATAATATTTTGCACAAGTCAAAAATGGACGATAGATCAACAGGCACAATGGTTAGACTCAACTTATCAAACTATGCAATATGGAAGATATTAATAGAAGATCTTCTATGCTGTAAAGATCTCTTTGAAACGATTGAGTTGAAAAGAGTTAGGCCAACTTCAATAAATGAGACTAATTGGAAATCAATTAACAGAAAAGCAGTTGCAACTATTAGACAGTCTGTTGAAATGAGCATCATAAATCATATCGCTCTTGAGAAAGATGTCTATTCAATCTGGAAGAAGTTGGAGGACATGTACGAGCGGAAGAATGCCCAGAACAAAGCTTTTTTAATTAAAAAGCTTGTAAATCTAAAGGGAATGTACGAGCGGAAGAAATCCCAGAACAAAGCTTTTTAAATTAAAAAAGCTTGGTAAAATTAAGTACAGAGATGGCGAAAGTGTTTCAAGATCACTGGGCAAATTTCAAGAAGATATTGAAACCAACTTACGACTCAAAAATAAGTGTTTGACGAACCAGGTGCAGGCACTATTCTTATTGAGTTCCTTGCAGACAGTTGGGAGACTGCTGACTGTTACAGTTGGGAGACGCTGACTGTTACGCTCAATAATGTGTCAGAGGGGAATCTAACCTTAACCACAGTTAAGGAAAGTATTCTGAATGAAGATACCAGACGTAATGATTTTTTTTTTTTAATTTTTAGGAACCAAATATAATTTTTCTATATTTTTTAAAAATCAAAATGTAATTTTTCATAAAGGTGGCCTGACACCTCAACTCCCAAGGAGCTCAACTTTATTAGTAGCGGTTGGCTGTTTAACTAGCATTTGAAACGTGAAAGAGCGTAATATTTTAGAACGTACTTTCTCAAATTTTAAATACTAATATAAATGTTGCACCACCATCGAACACTATAAATAATAATTGATTTAATAAAAATATTAAAAGGTACATGAAAATTATCGGCAAATAGGGTTACTCAAGTTTATAGTCTAACTACATTTTTTTTCTTACTTATTTGATAGCGACAGATTTGCAATTCGAATCATGTTAACATACAGTTAAACGATAATACGTAATATGTATAAACTTAAAAAAATAAATAAATAATAACAAAAAAATGTATTAAGTTTGTTGAAAATTTTAATTAAAAGAACACATATTATAGTATTGTTTGAAAATAGAAAAGAAATTACACTCTATTTTAGGAATAAAAAGTGAATTAAAAAAAAAACAAAAAAAAAAAATATGTATGGCATTTTAGAGCGCAACATATTTTTAGAGGCCAATATGATGGCGACTACTATACAAAAATAGCCTTTTTTGCTTACTTTCATTTTGATGTATATAAAAGAAAAAGCAAAAGAAAGGATGATGAAAAAGACTGTAATAAGAATTATTGTACCTTTCTGAAAGACACAAACAATAAATGAAAATAACTAAAAATAATATTAATAAAAATGCTCTTTTTTATTGTAACTCAAATTACTTCATTGATATATAAATTTAAAGAAATTAAATAGAAAGGAAAATATCACTTAAATTTTCAATTAGTAACATCTTCTATTAATTATTTTAAAAAGAAATTAAATAGGAAAGGAAAATATCACTAATTCATTGATATATAAATTTAAAGAAATTAAATAGAAAGGAAAATATCACTTAAATTTTCAATTAGTAACATCTTCTATTAATTATTTTAAAATTTATTTATTTTTATTCATTTTAAGACTAAATGAATCTGATTAATATGTTGGACAAAATAACAGAAAAGATGGCTCTTTCATAAATTCACAAAATTAATAAAAACTCTTACGATCGAAAAAATTTGAACTTGAGAATTTTCATCATCCACATTTCTATAAAGTTTCCATAAAAGTGAAAAAATACCAATGAGATAAAATATGAAAATTTTTATAAAAATTTTGAATTTTAACTTATTTTTTTATTTATTTATATTATTAATTAGATACTAGCTATTAAAGGAAACAATTACTATTGCCATGTAATTGATAATATTATTATTGTTATTGAAATACCCTGAAATTTTATTTTTAAAACTTTGGGTTTTTTATTAAATCAAAAATCCGAATTTTTGATAGTATGGGTTGTTAAGACCGAGCAAGTTTAACTTGAGCCCGAATTTGAATTGGGCCCAAGCCCAATAACAAACTGTCCGGAAATTTTGATGAAATAAAATGGAATGCTACTATATATAAAATAATTATCCTGAATTAACTTAGTATTATTATTATTGTTGTATTATTAGAAAGTAAATTGAAGAAATGTTTTATGACCCAACTAAAATAATTAAATAAATCGAACCAGACCCGGAATCAATTTGAATTGTCGAAAAAATCCAATTTGGAATTGTCGGGCAAAACCCCCACATCTTACAGACCCGCACCATACATCTAGTCCACCCGGATCGCAAATACGATAAATAATCCCGAAATCAGAGTGAAAAACTCGGGAAAACCAAACAAAAATGCAGAACCCAAATCCATTAAATCAGGACCAAAAACCGGTTCAAATCGAACCCGGGATATGGTCTAGAAGCACTTTCTTTCCTTTTTCTCTTTTCTTTTCGTTTCCCTCCTCCCCCCTCTCTCTTCCTTCCTTCCTTCCTTCCTTCTTTCTTTCTTCCTCGCACGACATCTCTCCTCTTTTGCTACTAACATCTCCGGTCCCACCGGCCATGGACAGTCGACACAAGCACTCCATCTTGTCCTTCTCGTCGAGATTTGAACTCTTTCTATGGTTCTTTGTTCGCGTGATGAGGCCCCTGACATTGAGAGAGAGATCATGGTCTTAGTTCGCGTGATGAGGCCTGAAATTGAGAGAGAGATCGCGATTGGAAGGCTGTCCACCGCGCGATGAAGTTTTCCGGCGAAATCTCACCGATTCCGTCGACTCCAGGTGCTAGGGTTGGTCTCAAACAACTCCTCTCCTACATATGAACCTTTTTCCCCCATTAATTTGTGATGTTGTTTGAGTTTTGATAAACCACCATGGACGGCGGCTTGAAAGTGGCTGTGGAGCTAGATCCGGCCAAACAAGGCACTGGCTCAACAAAGTGATAGCAGATTTGGATTCCTCGCGAAAATTGGAGGCGGGAGGTGGTGACCTTGAAATTTTTTGGGCGGCTTCACTTTTCCGGCCACCGTGCACGGCGATCGGCGGCGGCACCGTGCACGGCGGTCGGCGGCGGCGGTCAGGTGACCGGCCGGCGGCGCTCCGGCGAGGCCCCGAGAGACAGAATCCTCTTCTCTTCCCGCTAATCATGGAATCGTCGCCCGATTCCCAATGGGTACGTTCTAAGACTTAATTCTCAATTTTTATATATAAAGCATTAATTGATTAATGAATTTAATTGAGTTATTAACTAGACTAAATTGAATAACAAGACATTAACTTATTGGATTAACTTAAAAATATATGAACATTTATGGTCTTTTGTAAATAAATTAGATTGATTAGTGTGCGTATTTGGATAGCGAACATAATTTGTTAACTGGTTTAGGACTTTAGAATAATGTAATTGTAAATTAGTTTAGAACATTGTCAAATAAATTACATGATTAATATTATGATTAGGTGATTTGAGGAGAAAGAATAAATTAGAATTAGTTAATTAGT